CTAATTCCCTTTCATTCCAATTCTTCCAAATACTAATTCCCTTTCATCATCAGGTCATCTCCAGTGCGTTTCAAGGATTGCAGGTTGTATGAGGCAAATTTCCATCGGACCATTCTTCATCCATTTCCGGAGTCAAAACAAGAAATGACCCATTTGTCTGAAAAAGGCAAAGTGCGACAAAAACATTGCCATTGCATTTCTCCGCGTGACTCTACTCTTTGTGCCATCGCGGCTATTGTCATAGCAGTACTTCCTCTGGCAAGGCGCATACGATCTAAGCATAACAAACCAGTGACTGCTGGGTTCGTTCCTGCCAAGATGTCATTCATGTAGCCCAACCAGCTCCATCTTGCAAGGATAGTCTGTGAAAACACCCAAGCTGACCGTAAGCCAGCTGCGTCCAGCAATCCTCGAACTAAAAGACGCAAAGCGCCCTCTATCTGCCTCTGATTTGGTACATACCGATTCGTGCCTGGAGGAACAATGCCATTTGGTATCTCTCCATTTGGTCCTACTGGGTCAGTGGCAGCCATTCCTGCCAGCAGATCATCACATATGAATATCACATACAGTGGCTCACGACAATCGACTTGAATGATGAACGGCTCAATGACCGCCCCGACTGCACTTGTGAATTGAAATCGAGGTCGCGTCAACCAAGCACGACCCATCCATACTGTGTGACCTCCTGTTGGGTTGCATGAATCACTATTGTCCTCCCTTCAACGCATCCTTGCACTGCCTGCTCATATGCATTCAGCCGCTTCCACCCAGGAGGAGTGACAAAGTTGTTGTGATAGAAATTGCCTTGCCATTCGAACCTGGCATTTACATCCACTTGATTCGGGTAACGGGCATTGATGTAGCGACATGCTAAAGCATTCACCAATACCACTGTCCACTGATGACTCAATGTAGATCTGAATGCTGATAATCCTGTGACACCGAATGATTCCCCTTATCGCTGCTTCTGCCCTGGTGGGGACCAATAGTTTGGGGGACCCCCCCACAACTATTGGAGGATCAGCTCCTGAGTTTGTCCCACGCAACGCCCTGACCATTGCATTCTCCAGCTACGGAGTGCTAGCAATGGTCTCATATCGTGTCCCGTACTCACCTGGCAAATGATGAAGCGTCATCCTGGACACATATCCTGCCCCGTATCTAGGCCCAGTATAAACAGTTCCTGCACGAAAGACTCTAAATTTGGACCTTTGACCTCGTGGGTCAAGGCATGAGTGCCAATGATATTGTTGCCAGGTGCTGCTGTGTTAACAAACTGAGGATTTGCATTACAGCATCCAACTGGTTGGGCAGCTAGCAGATCTGTCAAAGTGACTGTTGTTGCTCTCTGTTGCTCTGTGTCCAGCGACCAAGCCACTGGCTCCATCTGCATCGTCTGCTTTGGCTCACCAGGCTCATTCCTCTTGGGAGCATTCCTCTTCTCACCACCAGCCTTCTGAGTTGGCGGCTTGGGTGGCTCGGTTGCCCTCTTTGGGGGGCGCAGATCCAGGTTTAGGAGTGTTATCCTTCTTAGGATCAGCCACTGGCGGTTTGTTCAAATCACCTTGATCTGGAGGCTCAACCTGTCCCGGTGGAACATCACCCCCATCATCTTCATCCATTGCGTCACGAGAGATGTTGATTTCTCCAGTGCTACAATCACATGAACAACACATTAACTTTATATGATCAAAGGAAGTTTAGTGTGCAAAACTTCCGTGTTACGGACATTCAACAGCTGTTCAACCACCACTCATCATACACCACTCATCAAAACACCACTCATCATACACCACTCATCATACACCACTCATCATACACC